AAGTTATTGTTGAGTATTTTTATTTGATAAAAAATTTTAATTATTATTTATATAATATATTAAATTTTCATATAAATATATGTCTAAAAAGCCTAAAAAAATCAAAATTTAAACTACTGAAAATATATGGAGAAAGTAATAATTATTGGTATGGGATTAAGGGGTTTGCTAACATTTAATGAAAATATTATGGTTACAATATCATATAATATTATAAATTTATAATTATGATATGATATTAAATGAAAATAATATAATATTAAATAAATGTATAATATTATAAATAAATTTAAATAAAAAAAATAAATTGTATAATGATAGATTACACATTATAAACTTAACAATTCATGCAATAATACATTGATAGCATTTTCTAAACATTCAATCATTTAAGTTAGGTAATTTGACTGCACACTTTTTCTTTTTTGTTATTAAATATAATTCCAATAATTTTTAATTTTAAAAATTTAAAAATCAACCGCCAATATTTAAAGAAGAAAAAAATGAAATCATTTGTCTGTTAAATTTTGCAGTTGCACAATTATGAGGATATATCTAGGCAGTTAAAATTAAATACTAATAATTAATGGTTCCCCTGTTCTGCCACTGTACTTTTTCCGTTGTCTGCGTTTGCACAAAGAAAATAACTAAACGATAAACATCGCCTCCATTCTCTCTCTACTGTCATCACCATTCACAACACCACCATCTCCCCCCCTCCCCCCCTTTCTTCTCTCTCTACATCTTCCTTGCTTTCGGTGCTTTCAAAAAACCAAATCAAAAAGCCTCTTTCTGCCTCTGATTAACACCGCCTTCACCCTTTCATTCCCTGCAAAAGAAGGGAAATTTTTTTTATCTTTTTACCTGATCCAGTAGAAGCCTTTCATTATCCTAATCTGGGGTCTCCCTTCTCTTAGTGTTATGGTTGCTTCTTGTTCAAGATCTTATCTTACTCTGCTTACGAATCAAGCTGAAATTTTCGCCGGAAAGTGATAGAAAATTCTTCACCCTGGGAAAGGAATTTTTTTTTTTTTTGTATGTTTAAAAGTTGTATTTGGGTGCCTGTAATGGTTCTCTAGCATCAAATCTTTTGTGGGTTGAATAAAGTTTTGAACTTTGGATAGAACAGAGGTGAAAACAGAGAGGGGGAAGAGAACCCATCAATGGATTCAACTACCCATCAAAATTTTGAGCTCCAGAATCAGCAACCCAGTTCTGGGTTATTGCGGTTTCGCTCTGCTCCTAGCTCGTTCCTCTCTAATTTCTCTGGGAGTCTCGATTCTGGGGTTAATAAGGTGAGCTTGGACTCGGAGAGACTGATTTCGAGATTCGCGAATTCGAGCGGAGGTGGTGGCGATATCCATGACAAATCTCGGGTTACGGCGGCGGAGGCGGTTGCTGTTACTTATGCCAATTCGCAGCAGAGTTATTCTGGCTTGCCGCCGCATTATCCGAGACACGGCTCTGTTACGAGCTTCTCATCGGCTATGGATGGCCGTTATGAGTTTCTGGCAGCGGGTCAACAGACTCAAGGAAAATCCGTCAGTTCGAGTCTCATGAGGCAGACCAGCTCGCCGCCGGGGCTTTTTGCCAACATATCCGTTCAAGATGGTATTGTTCTCATTCTTCTTTTTCATTCTCAGTTC